GGGGTCTGGAATTTGTATTTTAGTTTTTACATGAAGATACTCACTCTCTCTAAACCCCAAAAGGTCTGAAAAAGTTCACACGCTAGCAGATTCTTACAGATTCGGGAAGGGTGGAGCCTGAGTGTAGTGATGAGAGTGAGGAGGGGGAAGGGGCGGGGGAGGGGAGTTCGGAAGAGCTCTCCTGGGAATCAGAGTTCTCCTGGATTGGACAGTGGGCTCTACCACGAGCAGCCATGCACTCACAATGCTTACTGAACCTCAGCTCTCTTCCTGCAAAATACAGAAAATAAGACCCTCTCCACTGTAGGATTGCTCCCAAGAATAAAAGAGGCCAAGCACCTGGTGCAGGGTCTAGTTTGTAGCAGTTGCTTAGTAAAACTTCCCTCTCTGCCTTCTCCCTCCCTCTTCCTTCCTTTCAAAGGGGATTAGCATTGTCCTTGTCAGCAGGTGGAATGAGCCTTCTTAAATGTTCTGTGTGATTACCCATTAATACTTTAACTCCTTCACAAGTAACTAAAGGGAACAAAATCCCAGGGCAGCTACGCCAGCCAGAGGAGCTGGGAACAAAGTTCAGACAGCTAACTGCATAGGAGAAGCTCCCTCTCTCTCAGGGAACCCTCCAGTGGTGACCTGGAGCTGAGCCAGGGAACAGGTGGTGAGAGGCCGAGAACACGACACCCAAGCCTTTGGAGGCCATGTGAGGAGGCTGAGGGCGACTGTTGTAACAGGGTAACAGGACCCCGTTGATGAAGGCTGGGGATGGGAGATGGAAAACATATGGCTTGGGTTTCCAGGCTGGCCCATCCATTGGCTGGTGGAGGACACGCAAGGCCAAGCATGGACTCCCGGGTGCAGCTGGGAGCCAGGGCAGCACGGGTGCACTCCCAGGGGAGCTGGAAGGCTTCCCACAAGACTGCAACCCAGGGTGGACTTTTTTTTTTCTGGGCAAACCTGAAGGGAGGAAGACGCAGTGGGAGACGGGGTGGATTTCTCTGTGAGGATGCCATTCCCATTTATAATGTCAGAGATCCTTGCCCTGTACTGGATGCCCCAGAGAACAGCACCGTGTGAGAAAACTCGTGTAAAAAGTGCTCTAACAAATGAATCTTGATATGAATGGAAGGGGAGAGGGAGCGGGAAAGGGGAGGGTTGCAGGTGGGAGGGAAGTTATGGGGGGGAAGACATTGTGATCCATAAGCTGTACTTTGGAAATTTATATTCATTAAATAAAAGTTAAAAAAAAGAAATTTGTGGCAGAGAGTAGAAAGAATATGTTGATGCTATTTACCAGTTCCTAGTGAAGAAAAATTAAAAAAGAAAAAGTGCTCTAACGTTAAGCTGTTCATCCCCGACCTGTTTCCCCAGAAGCATAAGCCCTGTCTCTTCCTGTGTCCCTTTGCTTATTCCGTTCCTCCTCTCCTTCTCTCCCTTCCTTCCTCCTCTATTCCTCCCTACCTTATTCCCCGCCCCCGCCCCGTCTCTTCCTTTCCCCCTCCTCGCCTGCCTCCCTTCAAGCCAACATTCATTCATGTAACCCTGATTCCTTGTCTTAAAACTTTGAGAGACCAACTGATACAGATACAATTCTAATCAGAGATAGGCAATCAACTGCTAACTGATGGCCAAACATTTTTGTCTTTGTTCTCGCTGAGCCAAGTCTCTAGGGCATTCTAGGCTAAGGCCCTGATCTGACAGCTCTAAGCTCTTGGTGCTCAGTGGGCTCAGTGGGGAACAGAGCAGCTGAGTACATTTTGTAAGCCACCTGTAACCCCATGGATGCTGGTAGTGCGAGCTGTACCCAGAATGTGGATTCCCCTGCCTGGAGGCATATAAGAGCCACAGGGGGCTGGTATTGTGGTGTAACAGGTTAAGCCACCACCTGCAGTGCAGGCATCACATATGGGTGCCAGTTTGAGTCCCAGCTGCTCCACTTTGATCCAGATCGCTGCTAATGCACCTGGGAAGGCAGCAGAGGATGGCCCAAGTTCTTGGGCCCTGCTACCTACTTGGGAGAACCCAATGGAGTTTCTGGCTTTGGCCTGGCCTAACCCCAGCTGTTTCGGCCACTTGGGGAGTAAACCAGCCACTGACTACAGTTAGAGCGTTTGCGATCTTCAGTAACAATGGATAAACTGCCAACAGGCACTGCAGTGTTCCAATTGCGAATTGGAAGAGAGAGGAAGGCCACTGGCACAGGATGGGATAGCAAGCTGCTATGGCACTAGTCCTGCTGGTCAATGGTGGAGGCTGTAGGAAATCCAGAGAGACGTTGTAATAGCCTAGCTCCTCAGGTGTGGATTAAGTTAGCACCCAGGTATTTGGTCTGGTCTTCTTAGTGAAGTAAAACCACATATACTTGGTTCTGAGAAAAACCAACCAGTAATCTGAGATGCCAACAGAAATTTATACAGAAGTCGTGAACCTGACCTTCTCTGGCCTCTCTGCTCTTCAGTCACCTGCACTGGGTCTCTGGTACAAGTACAAATATCTACCGCCTCTGGGTTCACTCCACTTATGGCTTGACACTTAAGTGCCTGTTTGTTAAAAATGCCACGCACTTGTGATAAAATATGCCAAGGCTCCCAAGCATATTTCTATTGCCCTTTTTTTTTTTTGACAGGCAGAGTGGACAGTGATGAGAGAGAGACAGAGAGAAAGGTCTTCCTTTGCCATTGGTTCACCCTCCAATGGCTGCCGCGGCCAGCGCGCTGCAGCCGGCGCACCGCACTGATCCGATGGCAGGAGCCAGGAGCAGGAGCCAGGTGCTTTTCCTGGTCTCCCATGGGTGCAGGGCCCAAGCACCTGGGCCATCCCCACTGCACTCCCGGGCCACAGCAGAGAGCTGGCCTGGAAGGGGCAACCGGGACAGAATCCGGCGCCCCGACCGGGACTAGAAACCCGGTGTGCCGGCGCCGCTAGCGGAGGATAGCTAGTGAGCCGCGGCGCCGGCCTATCCTATTGCCCTTTTGCCAACAAATATGTTCACCTCTAACATCTCTCCAGAGGGCTCACACAGATGGTCAAATCTTGAAGAGACCTTTGGATTCATTTTCTAGTCTACTCTTCTCACTTTTAAAGATGAGGAAAGACAAGACCAAGACTTAAAGGGACTAGAACAACCATAGCTGGTCAGTGGCGACCTGATAGAAGAACCCCATTTCCATCACTCTTGTGCAAACATCCCCACGGAGCACAGTCCTGGTACATTGTGAATGGTGCTTGGAGTTGTGTTATAACCCCAGCTCTACTGCCTTTCAAGGCCGTGCCCCTGGTACCACGTCCTTGCCTTCTCAGTCCTTTTTGAGATTGTCATGCTAGGGTTGGATCCAGAATTCTGTGTTTGAACTTGACCCTTGAGGGGAGGTTTGGAGGAGTAGGCTCACTAAATGATTAGAAGGTATGAATGGGCCGGCGCCGCGGACTTCTCACTAGGCTAATCCATCCGGCCTTGCGGCGCTGGCACACCGGTTCTAGTCTCGCGGTCGGGGTGGCCGGATTCTGTCCCGGTTGCCTCCTCTTCCAGGCCAGCTCTCTGCTGTGGCCAGGGAGTGCCGTGGAGGTGGCAAGTGCTTGGGCCCTGTTACCCCATGGGAAACCAGGAGAAGCACACTGCTCCTGCCATCGGATCAGTGCAGTGCGCCGGCTGCAGGGCGCTGGCCGTGGCGGTCATTGGAGGGGTTGAAACCAACGGCAAAGGAAGACCTTTCTCTCTGTCTCTCTCTCTCACTGTCCACTCTGCCTTGTCCAAAAAAAAAAAAAAAGGTATGAATGGGGGCTGATGGCTGTCATGCAGCAGATTAAAGCCCAGGCTTCAGTGCCGGCATCACATATGGGCGTAGGTTCTAGTCCCGCCTACTCCTCTTCCGATCCAGCTCTCTGCTGTGGCCTGGGAAAGCAGTAGAAGATGGCCCAAGTCCTTAGGCCCCTGCACTCTCCTGGGAGACCCAGAAGAAGCTCCTGGCTCCTGGCTTTGGGTTGACACAGCTCTGGCTGTTGCAGTCATTTGAGGACTGAACCAATGGAATGGAGGCCCTCTCTCTGTAACTCTTTCAAATAATTAAAATAAATCTTAAAAAAAGAGAAGATATGATGAGATGACAGCCTTCATAAAAGGACCTGAGGAGAAGTTCACTCTTTGTTTGCCCTTCTGCTTCTTCTGGCACAGAGGACACTGTAGGAAGGCGCTGTCTTGGAAGTGGAAGTGAGTTCTTCCCAGACACCCCGTCTGCCTGCACCTTGATCTTGGACTTCTCAGGGAAAAAAAAATTCTATTACTAAGTCTAAGTATTTGTTATAGTAGCAGGAATAAACTAAGACAGTCGCTCAGTATCGCAGAGCCTGTGTGTCCTCGAAGTAAGAATCTCATCAATTTATAAGGTTGGCCTGACATTTAATAATGGGTGGCAAGTGTCATTTCTAATTTAAAGCATTCTGCTGGTATAGAGACGTGATGATATAAATATCCATCAGGTAACATCATCATTCCATCCCTCCCCCTTTTTTTTTCCTTTGGCCCGAAGCACCTTAATCCCTAGGTTGGCCTTAATTAATTTCAGGTGTATGACTAATATGCTAATGACATCCTTGTTCAGCCGGGGGCCCTTCATTGTCCTCCAGCGTCTCTGAGCCAGTTGTGCTCTCAAGCTCAGCAGGGCTTTTCTGCAGATTGCTTTCTCTTTATTAGACTTTGAAAATCTCCATTCCAATGAAAGATAAACCAAAGGACTGATCCTTATTGTTGCAAATTGATTCCAGAGACCTTTTAATAGGAAGCTCTGCTAGTGCGTGGAAAATGGCGTAAATTACAAAAATTCAAAGGAGCACGTGACTGCTTAGGAGCCCAACTATGGTTTAAAATCAGGAGAAAGCCTGGTGTTAGCCTAAAATCAAGAGGGAGTCTTAGGAATGAATAGGGTAGACAGGAGCCCTCCCTGGCAGGAGTTGGTGGAGTTTCTAGGATCCTGCGTGGCCAAGGATGAAGTGTGGTCTTGACAAAGATACACTTTGAATCAGTTTATGTAATTGGGCTCATGTTGCCGAAACCCAACCTTTTCCTTTCCTGCAAACCTCCTCTTCCTGTCCACTCCGTGAGCAGAGTGGCTGGCTGTGTCTCTGGCTTTCTGTGAGGACAGCTGCAAGCAAAAGCGAAGAAGGAAATCAATACAAGTTCTTGATACAGGAGATTCTTTCCGAACGCAGCCCCAAATGCCCGCCGCCTGTTACTGCGCTCTGTGAGCATTTTCTCATGTCTGGCTTGATGGATAATCTTTCCAACGTGGAGGAATACTTCAGGCTGGCAACAACTGGATCTTAGGCGTTAGAAAGCTTGAAGAATTCATTTTTTCAAACCTGCTGCAATGTGTTAATGACCAAAGGTTACACAAAACACCAAGTATGTGGGTCTCTTGATATGGAAAGTTAGTGAAAACACTTCATGCCATTTTCCATTTCTGTTCCAAGATCACATCTGTTTGGAACTGAACCGTAGCATGTGTGCTGGGGAACCTGTATGAAATTAACTTTTATAGCTGACTTTACAAGGAGGATCTTTTATTGTCTACAACTTGGCTGGAATTCAGGAAGTTCCCAAAATGATTTATCGTTATATGTGCCTATTCTATGGCGGCTGATGAAACTGATGTATTATTGAACATATGCAGTCATTCTGTCTCAAGACAAGAGATCATCTCAGCCTTTTATCCAAAAGGAGTGAAGAATTTACATTGTGGAGGGGAAAAAAGTTGGGTATTTTGTTCTAAGTGAAATAATTAGTTACAGGAGCAAACCATTTGTTGCCAGTCCTGTAATTCTTTTCTGTTTGCCAATCCAGGGGCGACTTATTAGAATCTTGAATATATTCTTTAAATAAATATTTAAGGTAATATTTCCCCTCAATAAATGTTTGATTCCATTCTCATAATATCTGAGATGATTAGTTCAGCTATTATATCATGGTAATAAGAATCAAAATCATGAATTTAAATTTATTTCATGTTACTTAATATATAACCCCTCCCCCAACTTAACCTCTTCCACTTTGAACAGAGGGGCCCCTTTAGCCTGACCAGTCAGCTTCCATATGGTTGCAAGAAGAATTGGCCAAAAATGGTGGCTAATGCCATGAAGTTTCTCTCCACCAGGAGAAACCTGCAGGAGCATATTTTTCTACTGATGAACCAGGAGAATTTTACATACATACAAGAGAATACATTCAACAACAATATTTGATTAAATTAGAATATAGGGAAAAACAGACTAATTCTAGAATCTGCATTTATGGTGTATTAAACATTTAATACTCTGGAAAAATGTGGTGCTTCTGGATTTGATGTGTGCTCTCAGCCAGACAACTCACTGACACACCTCATTTCAGTTGGAAAGGGGTAGTCAAAATTGTGGGAATTTCAGGCGGATGTGAAAATGAAACCACAAACTCCAGATCCTATAAAGCTGTGTTAGCTACTGAGAAAATTTAGATCCCATTTTCTAGTTTCAATGTCAATGAAAAACATTTGATTTATAGTGTCAGTGAGACATGAACAAAATATCTCTAGTTATTATATACATTGTGAGTCATTTATAAGGCAATGTGTAGGTAGTTAACACAAATGAAATTAGATCCAATTGTTATTATTTTAAGATATCTATGTATTAATCTGAGATGCAAAGTTACAGAGTAGGGGGAGAGATTTTTCATTTGCTGATTCACCCCCTATATGGCTGCAACAACCAGAGTTAGGCCAGGCTGTAAACAGGAGCTTTATCCAGGTCTCCCAGGTGGGTGCAGAGTCCCAAGCCCTTTGGCCATCTTCTGCTGCTTTCCAGGACAGAGAGCTGGATTGAAGTGAAACAGCTTGGGGCTACAACCAGCACCCACACGGGATGCTGGCATTGCTGGCGATGGCTTAACCTGTCGTGCCATAGCACCAGCCCTATTTTTTTTCACTTAGTAGTATAGATATACACTTTTTGGGAACAAAATTTGGAGCCTGCTTGGGAGATCTTGCATCATCCACATTAATTCCCTTTTATTCCAGAGGCCTTTTAATATTATCCCCCAGTTCTGGCATTAGGTTCTATCTACAAGCTGAACATAAAACCAGACAGACTCCTTCGTTGCAGAAGTTATTTCAGATTTGCTGTCCCTCACCTTAATCTATTAGCCTGAGAGTGTGACATAGTTGCACATTAATAAACCTCATTTCCCAAACAGGTGTGCTAGCTTTGAGTAGTGAAATCATCTTTCATAATGATGGACCAGCCCCGTAGCCCCAGTTAGTAATATCACAACAGTAGGATTCTGTACCAAGGTTGGGTAAGGTGGACAAGGATGTCTCTGCACATTTTTAATTTGAGGCAAGAAGAGAACAATTCAAATATGAGCCCGTCTCACTGTCAGGGCTTGTCTCTTTGCCTAAAGGATAGCACATTTTCAAATGGCTTTGAAACAGTTGAAAGTGGGTAATGTTAATTTGGTGTAAAACTTCAAGTGGCATATTACTAATGCCAAAGAACAAAGCAATTGAGGATCTGGAAACTAATTACTAACAGCACTGTCACTACTTTATGTAGTGTGAACAAGAATCATATGTTTCCTAGGGTGCATCCTTGTTGTGGTCTTAGTCTCATTGGGAAAGTGTGATAATGAGCAGCTAGCTGATAACTGAGAGCTGCTGTGGACTCCTCTTTTTTTTAATTATTTATTTTAAGGAATGTAAATTTCAGAAGTACAACACTTGAGGAATATAGTTTTCTTCCACCATACCTGCCCTCCACCCACCACTCCCACCCCTCCTTCTAATCCCTCTCCCTTTTCCAGTCCCATTCTCCATTAGGATCATGTTTAATTAACTTTGTACACAGAAGACCAACTTTATACTAACTGAAGATTTCAACAATTTGCACACACACACACAGAAGCTGTTTGGAACTAGTTTAACAGTTAACTCTCATAATACAACTCAATGAGGACAGAGGTCCTATATGGGGAGTTAGTGTATAGTGACTCCTGTTGTTAATTTAATGATGCTCTTAAGTATAACATTCCGTGACCACCTGAGGCTCTTGACATGAGCTGCCTAGGCTATGGAAGCCTTTTGAATCCAAAACTCTGTTAATATTTAGACAAGGCCATAAGCAAAGTGGAAGTTTTCTCCTCCCCTTAGAGAAAAGTACATCCTTCTTTGATGGCCACTTCTTTCTGTTGGGGTTTCCCTTACAGAGATCCTTCTTGTAGAACATTTTCGGCTTTCCATGCCTGAAATGCTCTCATGGTTTTTTTAGCCAGACCAAGAAGCCATAAGGGCTGATTCTGAGGTCAGAATGTTACTTAAAGTGATCACCATTCTATGGATCTGCTGTGTGGACTGCTTCCCATGTTGGAACATTCTCTCCTTTTAATTCTATCTATTATTATTATCAGACACTGATCCTATTTATATGATCAGTTTAACACTTAATCCTATCTATATGTTCACTTTAGCACTTAATATGATCCCTTTAACTTTTAGATGGCATTTTACCACCCAGCTTAATGGGATTTGGGGTCCCATGACAAGTTTTTAAGTTGCACCCTTAGAAGTCTAAGGGTGCAACTTAAAAACTTGTCATGGGACCCCAAAGTCTGTAGGAATGTATGCAGAACTATACAGTTTTACAGTTGCAAACTTCCTCCTCCCTCTCCTATTCTCACTCTTATTGTTTGCTGAGATCCATCCTCAATTGACTTTATACACATATGATTAACTCTATGCTAAGAGTTCAACAAATAGCATGAAAAAAAAATTGAAAAAAAATGAAACTGTTCCATGACAGTCAAGAAAAGGGCAGCTCAAGTCATCCCTTCTCGAGTGTCAATTTCTCTTCTACTTATTTGTTTAAGGTGCTCTATTTGTTCTCACAGATCAGGAAAAACATATGGTATCTGTCCCTTTGGGACTAGCTTATTTCACTAAGTTTGATGTTTTGTGGATTCCTCTTATTAGCACGATTTTGTCCCCATGCCCAGAGGCCTTGGGGGCAGTGGACATTCTTTTCAATAAGTGAGATAAGTTATCGTTGTTGTGATTTAAAAGCACCATCACAGACTTGAATTAGGAGACCCTGTTGTAACAATCTGAAGCTCCTGACACTGTGATCTGATGTTGCTGGCTGTTGAGACTACCACATGCAATGGCTCTGCCCTCCTGAGGGCTCTAGGTCTTGTAGGTGAAATAGAATGAATAGATTATTAGTGAGAGTGGGGATTCTACATGAATTCACGGACTCGGAAGGAGATGGGGACTTTGCTGTTTGTTCAAATCAGAGGCTATGGGACCTGGCTGATTCATTTTTTTTTTAAAAAGAATGTTTTATTCAAGCATCTTGAGAAGATTTATCTAATATAGTAGGGGGAAAAAAAAAACACTCCCAAAACTGGATAGTTGACTCAGAACTAGTTGTGTTACTTAAATGGTTTCCAGCTATTTCTTGAGTTGTAATAGGATATGTAGCAGCATACCTTCATGCTGAAGGAAAGATGAATTTTCTATGATTTTATGGCCATGATTGGTTTTAGTGTGAGTGCATGCAGTGTGACAGATGTAGATCAGAGCTCAGCACCAGGTCCTGGATGAAGACACATGGACTCTCCGTGCTGGCAGGGACCTGGGGTTCTTAGTCTGAGCCCCAGGGCTGTGTATCAGAGGACCAGCAGATTTGTATGTGCCCTTTCATGGGGATGCACCCAGTTACTACTAATCAGGAACAACATAATGGTTTTGATCAAATTCTCAAACGGGTCTATCATCTCAAAAGCAATGAATTACGTTCTAATGAAGCTCATGGTACAGGGTGAGAAGCCAGGGTCTAGAGAGATGAGGTGGACTGGGTGTTAGAATACTTGTTTTATCTTAGGTTGCTGGCAGTCAAGTTCATCTGCGAGCTGGGATGCGATCAGCACAGTGTGGAATCTATTGGGCGAGCCTTGCCTGTTGGTTTGGGGTTGCCATCACTGCTAGATTGAAGTAGGTTTGTGCTGTTCACTATGTTTCCCACTTTACAGGTAGAACAAGACAATCAAAATTATGCAGAATGACCTAAAACTTGAACATTTGTGCGAGAAACCCTGAGTGTTGACTCTCTTGAGAAATTGCTCACAATGTATGTGTTTTATATTCCATATGTAACAGACAAACCTGGAAAGGGATTTTGGTTTTAAACTTGCAATAATAGTGAATGTTCCCTCTGTGTTCAGGATCACTCTTTGCTTTTGCTTTGGATGTCACAAAGATTTTGAAATCAAAAGGGCTTCCATTTTACCTTTTTAGGAATATGGTATAATTTGTCTGCATGATTGCATTTTAATTAGCACTCCCATTGCCTATTTAAACATGCAGAGATATAAAACGAGCCAACCAAATAGGAAGAGATATAGCCAGGTGTTTGCTACTGTGATGTTATTGAGCACTGCCTGGGGATAAAGCCTGAGCCAGAGTCAGGTTTTAATAGTGTGAACTGGTTCAAATAAATCCATTTGTATGCATAATATTTTACATAAGGGTTAAGCTGCTTTGGCAATTATTAATAATTATGCCTCTTTGCACAGCTCTGAGAATCTCTGAACATTCTCTGGGAGTAAACCAGCCATTCTCACAGTTAAAAATAAAAGAGTTTCATGGGTAGTATTTTTATATAAGTCTTGGGGGGCTAGGTGATGACCTTAGGGTGCACGGTGTTAGGGGCAGAGAGAGCAGGCAGAAGGGTGTAAGCCAGAAGCATGGACTTAATTTTGGAGGGAGCGTTTGTCTCTATGGCACACCATGAGACAGTGCTCAGCGTGGAGTGTGCTGCTGTTCCGAGAACACGTACAGCTCAGCATTCCCAGCTTAGGCTGCTATGAGCCAAAGTAACGCAAGGGAACTTACTCTTCTGGATCCAGCCCTGGAAGCCCTCGTGTCTCCCATTTTGTCTGGCAAAGATCTTTGCAGGGTTAGCAGATGGAGTCTTAGCTGATTCCTTCAGCCTATTTGGTGGTGCTCTGAGAGGGTCCAGGGACCTGCAGTTCAGGCTTGCTGGTCAGGTCGCTATATCAGTCATTAATAGCTCTTAAAAGTAAGTAGATAGACAGTTATTTAGATAGTATCTGAGTGTTTTTATAAAATATAGTCATGTATGCACAGCAGTGTTTCAGTCAACAATAGAGCAAATATATGATACTGGTCCCAGAAGGCTACAAGGGACCTGGCAGTTCCTATCACCTAGTGACATCACAACCATTGTGACATCATAGTAAGAAGCATCACTGCCATGTTTGTGTGATTGCTGGTGAAAACACTGCCAGTCCTAAGAGCAAAGCAGTACAGCTAGGTAAAGTATTTAGTACTAGATAATGATAACCGCTCTTGTTCCTGGTTTATTACTATACTTTTTGTCTTTGCTTTAGAGTGTACTCCTTTTGCTCATAAAAACAAAGTTGACTATAAAACAGTCTGCCAGGTGCACCTCATGCCTCTCCTGTTTCCTGGGTCTCTCGCACACGGAGTGACTGGCCTGCACCACTGAAGTTTGTGTAAGAGCACCCTGCGATGTTTGTACAGCCATGAATCAGCAAACGCCTTCTCATTGTGGACTGCATCTTCTGTAAGATGTATTCGACTAGGATACACTGGAATGAAATAAACCCTGCTCTTAGATCACACCATGACCAAACAACTCTAGAGGGAAAAAAAACCACATACTTCAAAAAGTTCATGGAAAAATGTAGATTAGAATGAACCAAACCTAAAAGATGGAATTAGAAGGCGGATTTTTTTTTTGGTGCAAAAAATTTTTGAAATTCCAGGCATAGCTTCTACATAATAACACATTTTCCATGAACTTTTGAAGCACACCTCATAGCCATGTAGTTTTGAAAGGGCTTTTGAAGCAACATTTAACAGCACTAACTTATCTAAATGAACTATCAGCTTAATCTTGTGACTAGTGATGAACAACGCTGGTGTAATTGTGACATCTCATCAAGCAGAATTGCTCAACAGAACAGAGCAGTTACATTTTGCTGCCATTCGGAATCAAACATCCTTCAAAGCCAGATGTTTCCAGTTTCTTAATAACGCATCATGATACAATTGATTAAAAAAAATCACCTGACAATGATTCGATTGCTCTGCACGACAAATATCAGTCACCAGCGTGATAGCTGGAGATGTCTGCAGGATTCTGGGCCTCTGGATATTATAGAGAGTCAGAGAGACTTGACCTCCGAACCCCTAATGCCTAAACAATGCACCCTCGACTCAGTAACTGACATTGCTGATGGCAACGGCCCCATGTGATGACTTACTTGTCTTCCCCATCAAATCCCTCATAAAAAGAGGGAAGGGGTGGCCAGAGAGACAAGGGGGGGAAGCCAGAATCTTTGTCTATTCTGGGCTCTTCACCGGCGAGTTGACAAATGCCAGTGAAAGCACTCACTTCCTGCTCTTTATCTGTGAAGCCCATTAAGCTGGGCCTTCGGTAGACAGGCCTGCTGCTGCCTTTTGTTGAGTTCTCCTTCCCTTCCCCTATTTGTCTCAAGCATTGGAAGTCTTACAACTGCGGTTGCCCATCATTCTCCGCGAACACAACCTGCACAGTGGCAGCGTGACAATGGGAGAGGGAGGCTGACCACACGCCTTTGTGTCTCAGAGGATTCGTCTGGCTGCAGTGACTGGGGGACAGGTGGGGCAGGTTCTCAGGTCCATCTGCAGCTACACATGCTTGCGTTTCCAAGAAGCACGGGTCAGGAAGCTCTTGGGGAGTCCTTTCTATTTCCCACAGTTCTGACATTGGCTCTGAGTCGTGTGCAGAGTGCTGGGAGGTACAGCACTAAGTAGCACCAGCATCTGGCTTGCAGTGGTGTCTAGGACTCGGTGGATGCTTGGATCCTGCCTTCTTTGCTGCTGTTGCAACCCCACTTACTCCTTGATGGTACTTCTCAGGCTGGGGTGAAAGGGGAAGGTGGTTGTAAGAACCACATAGGACAGCTCATCTGCACCTGGAAGGGCTTTGATTGAAAAAATCTTTGTAGTTTTTTTGTTCCCCATCCACTATATTCTCCTAAGACCTGGGTTTCTGGTCACTAAGAATGTGTGTGATCTTACATAAGTCACTGCATTCTCTAGGTTCCAGTATCTTCATCAGTAACATTGGAGTAGCTCAGTGGTTCTCAAAGTGTGAGCCTTGGACCACCAGCATCAGCATGATCCAGGAGCTTATTAGAAATGCAAACAGGGGTCAGTGCTGTGGTGTTGAGGGCACAGCTGCCCCCTGCAGTGCTGGCATCCCATATGGGTGCCAGCTTGAGTCCCAGCTGCTCCACTTCGGAGGCAGCTCCTTGCTAATGCATCTGGGAAAGCAGCAGAAGATGGTCCAAGTCCTTGAGCCCTGCACCAATGTGGGAAATCAGGAAGAAGCTCCAGCTCCTGGCTTTGGATTGGCCCAGCTCTGACTGGTTTGTGACCATTGGGAAGTGAACCAATAGATAGAAGGACACCCCCGCCCCCACCACCACCACCTTGTGCTCTCTCTCTCTACTGCCTCTCTGTAACTCTGCCTTTCAAATAAATAAGTCTTTAAAAATGTAAATAGGGGTCTGCAGGGTAAAGCTGCCGCCTGCTGTGCTGGCAATCCCATATTGGCGCCAATTCAAATCCCAGCTGCTCCACTTCCAGTCCAGCTCTCTGCTATGGTCTGGGAAAGCAGGAGAAGATGGCCCAAGTCCTTGGGCTCCTGTAGCCACATGGGAGACCTGAAGAAGCTCCTGGCTTCTGGCTTCAGATTGGTGCCGCTCTGGGCTGTTACGGTTATCTTGGGAGTGAACCAGCAGATGGAAGACTCTCTCTCTCTCTCTCTGCCTATGCCTCTCTTGACTTTCAAGTAAATAAATACATATTTTTAAAATAAATAAAAAATGCAAATAAATCCAATGGAGGACCTACTGAATCACACATACTGGGAGGAATCCAGCCTTCTGTGTTTAAAAAAAGTACTTATTTTACTTGAAAGAGAAACAGAGAGACGGATCTCCCATCTACTGGTTCTCTCCTTAAACGTCCACAATAGCTGGCACTGGGTCAGACCTAAGCCAGAAGTCAGGAAACTGAATCTAAGTGTTCCATGTGGTCAGCAGGGATACAGCCACGTGAACCATCACCTGCTGCCTTCCACGGTGTGCATTAGCAGGAAGTTGGAGTCAGGAGTGGAGCCAGAGACTCATATTCAGGCATGCTTGTATGGGATGCAGGTGACCCAACTGGGATCTTAACTGCTGAGTGTTGTTTTGATGAGGGCTGCAGGAAATGCTGGTGCAGGCTCGAGCTTGAAACCTTTGAAATATATGATCTTGTGTGCTCCTTGTAACACTGACATTTTAAATGGCTCTTGGTCTCAGGTCATAAGTCAGTTCAAACCCAAAGCCCTACACACATGCAGGGAGATTTTCCAGAGAGAGATTGTCAAGTGTAGCATCTGTGCCGTACACAAAGCATTTAATCTGTAGCAACAGGAAAACTGTGCGATGTGAACCAGCTTAACAGACTCACGCCTTCTGTTCTAGTTGTATCTTGTTCTTGTGTAAAAGTGACTTCACAGAACTCAGGCAAGTCCTTCCCTCTGGCACGGCCACTCCAGGCAGTATCCACTTGGAAGTACATATTGGCCTGCTGTGAGAAAACAATGGAAGCTTTTCCATGCATTTATTCTTTCTTTTGCTTGCTTACCCAGCAATCAAGTCTTCCATAAAGAGGCCTGAGATCACTACTGATAGCGTGTGGCTCTACCTGTCAAAGGAACTACTGTGGTATGTCCTCAGGCCAGGAAGTCAGGTCCCAGAGTAACGTAGTGAAGCTCGGACCCCAGCCCCACTGCCTGTGCGCGCTCTGCTGCTCCTGGTGCCCCACTTTTCTTTCTCCTCTGGGCTTTGGGGCAGCTCTGCTTACCCCTGTGACTCAGTACAGGCATCAGTTCTCCTGGGATGCTTTTCCTGAACTTTCCAATCAGGTGAGGAGGCCTCCTTTGGTGTACCAGGGCCCCCGTTCTTCTCTGGGGCACGGCTGTCCACACAACGTATTGCTGACTTGGATCATGGGTTCCTCCAGGCTCAGTGTAGCTCCAGGAGGGCAGGACGGTCCTCATCACTCATCGTTCCCAGGGCTGGGCCATGGTGCCCGGCATGTGAGAGGGCATTGGTAATTATTCCTGGAGAAGGGCTCCCTGTTTCTTCTCCGCCTCTTCTGTTAGATTATTGCTTCTTTTACATATGTCTAGATAGTGATCGATCAAATTGCTGTTGTTCAAAGGGTAGACATTGCTTGAAGGTGGACACAGTGCGGGCACTGCCAGCGGTTCAGGAAGAGCCTGTTGTGCTCCCGCCTGAACGACCCTAAGGCCTCTGCTTTGCCCGGCCCTGTTTGCTAGTTTTTGCACCTGTGATACAGAAGGGACCAGCATGGCATACTGCAAATTTCTCAGTCTCATCAATCTTGATTGATTGCATGATTTCCATTTATTTTCACTCCCCCACTCCTATGTCTGTCCTTTCTTTAGGTACTCATTTTAGCATGTTTGTGTTTCTTACCATATTTGATTTGCATTTTTAGAAGACATATATTCCTGTTTGTAAACATGTCTTAAATTTATATACATGGCATATAAAAAATTCATTTTCCTCCTGACTTTTTCTGTTGGCATAGTATCATGATCTGTGTTGCCATGGATACTGAGTTGGCATCTTTTCATTGCTGTGTAGTATTCCAGTGTGTGCAATTCTGTTTTCTTCATCTTTCCCACAGCGATGAATGAATACCCAAACTGTCTCCAACTCCCCCTTACTGAGAACACTGCTGTGAACAACCTAGTACATGTGCTCTTGTTAACCTATGGGAGAATCCCTAAGAATTAGTGGTGTGCGTGTCCTGTGAGTCGGGTCAGGATTGCTGGGTCAGAGCATCCCTGTGCTTATTTTGGCTGATTACTGCCAAACTTTTCTTAAAATGGCTGCCCCAGTCTTGTAGGTTGTATGTGAGGATATTTCAAAAGCTTCCGGAAAGATAGAATTAAAAGATAAGTTAAGGGGCCAGTTGCCA